TTGCAGTGCGGTTCGACTGTCACTGATGATATTAACAACTTTCCCAGAGAACAAGTGAGTATTTTCTTGAATGTACTTTAAAGCCTTCCAGATTGCTAAAGACTCTGCCTGATTGTTTGAGCAGTTCTCGTACAGCTTGTAAGCTGCATCCCAGAAGAGCCGTTTTTGAGGATCCTCCAGATGGGTGGCAGCGCCAACTACACCTGTAGCTTTGGAACCGTCGGTGTAGATGCTGAGCCCTTTCATAATTGGGGGGGGGAATGGAAGTCGAAATTGGAGGTGATACAGTGAGCTGGGTGGCTGTTGATGCGATCCATATTGACGTCCAAGCCACAATGCAAGAGATCATCAATCAGTGGGTGGATTGTGTCTGGTAATTTATGTTTGTCGATCAGATGATGAATGGATTCAGGGCTGGCATTGCTGGAAAGCTTACTCACCAGCAGGTTCCTGACATATTTGTACGTGATAACTAGATTGATCGGGGTTAGTCCAGCAATCACTAGCAAAGCGTCTGTGGGGGCTGTCTTATAAGATTTTGTGATCGCTATGGCGGCGGTCCGCTGAGCCGAGAGGAGCTTCCTGCGGATATGAACCTTACTTGCCGCGTAACCCCACACCTCACAGCAGTAGGTGAGGATAGGTTTTATCGCACTTTTATAGATGATTTTACTGTTGTTATTATCTAGGCCCCACCCATTCTTGGCAATTGACCTCAGTTTATGACTGACACTGATGGCTTTATTGTAAGAATAATAAACGTGATCCCTCCAAGAGAGTTTGGGGTCAAGTATGACCCCTAAGTACTTAAGGTTGTTAACGTTTCGTATTGTTACTCCGTTGATCTTAATGGAAGGCTTTTTGTGTAAAGGATTTTTCTTAGGGAAGACCATAGTAGAGCACTTGGAGTGGTTTATTATTAGGTTGTGGTCTTGGCTCCAGTTGTAGATTCTCTTCAGAAAGTTGTTTGCATAGTTTTGTAGTTTTTCTTGGTTTTGATACGAGAGTAGTATTACAGTGTCATCAGCGTACCCTTGGATGTGTGGATTTCCGTCTTGTTGTGGGTCCTTGTTGAGATTCAAGATTCCATTAAAGAGGATGTTCCACAATAGTGGTCCTGACTTAGAGCCCTGGGGGCATCCCCTAGTGATAGGAGAGCAATGGAGGACCTTACCCTTTTCCACAGCCAGAGCAGATCTATCTGTGAGGTAACTCTTAAGTAGGTTAAAAGTGTTGACAGGACAGAGGGCACCTGCGAGAGTGGCCAAGATTGCCGGCCACCAGGCATGGTCGAATGCCCCCTTAAAGTCAATACTGACCATGATTGTGTGTTTACCCATTTGCTTGGCCTTCTGGACATACGAGATGACGTTTTCCAGGGCGTGGTGAGTGGCCTTCCCTCGCACAAATCCATATTGGTTTGGGTTGAAAAAGTTGTTAACATTTAGATGGTGAAGGATCCTTTCAGCCATTAAGGCGTCTAACACCTTCCCAACCACTGAGAGGAGTGAGATGGGTCGGTAGTCGGCCGCGGCTGAGGGAGGAGAATCCTTGTCTTTCGGGATTAGCTTTATTGAGGCCTCTTTCCATTTTTTTGGAAAGTATCCACAGTCATAGCACTTGTTAAATAGGACCAGGAAGGTAGTGGGGATGGCCTCAAAAGCGTACTGGGCCATTCTCCAGTCTATGGAATCTGGTCCAGGTGCCTTCCGTTTCTTAATTTTGTTGAATTGTCGCTTAACTTCTTGGGCGGTAAAAGGCCTATCGTATTCTGTAGATTGGGTATTTATACTCCGATTCCTGATCTCTCTGTGGTATTCTGTGTCAGTATTTGGGTTGTCAGGAGGAAACAGGTCCGAGAAGATGCGTTTGTAGGTTTCTTCTGGGGTGGTTGTGAAGTTGTGATCGTCTGCGATAGTAGCTGGAGTTGTGAGCGGCTTTCTATTTTTTATGGCTGTATAGTATGGGGTTGACCAAGGTCCCCGTTCATTGGAGGCAGTGCAGAAATTCTGCCATAACTTTTTTCTTGTGCGGTTGATTAAAGTTTTGTATTCTCTAAAGTACCTTTGATAGGTTTGATGAAGGTTTTGCTTATTGATAGGATCTGTTTCTCTCCTGTACCTACGTTTTGCTATTCGCACTTTTTTCCTGTGGGCTTCAAGATCGCTGTTCCACCAGGGTGCAGATGGCTTGCAAGTTTTAATTCTAGTAGCCTTATAATAGGCCATATGGAGAGCGTTCTGAAGTTGTTCGACAGCATAGTCTATTTCTTGAGGATGTTTCAGTGAGGTCAGACCCGTGGGGTCCCAGTGTGCTTTGATGTATTCTTGAAAGAGGTCCCAATTCGTGATGTTTTGTATTATGAGGTTGTCTGGGCAATTTATACTAGAGATCTTGGTAATGATGTAAGCGTGGTCGCTGGCAGATATGCACTCTTGAGTCTGGCAGCTGATGTTGAGTTCTTGAAGTTTGGTATTACCCAGACACAAATCAATCCAGCTCTTTCCATTGTTACTTGAAAAGGTAGGCAGGTGGCTGGTGTTTAGGGACTGAAGGTTATGTTCTGACATGAACTCACTCACGGCATAGCCTCTTGGGTCTTCGACTGGGCTGTGCCAGATGGGGGACTTAGAGTTGAAGTCCCCGCAGACCAATATAGGGGATGTTGAGAGCCCCTTTACGTACTCCTTAAGCTCTTGGAGGGGGAAGTGAATATCCTCAGCTGGTGAAGCGTAAACATTAAGGATATACAGGTGATGTGGGCCATGTTGGACCCTGATGGTGGTGATATAACTGCTGCAGTGTTGTGTGATCAGCTGGACATTCAGATTATCATTGGCAATGTGGAACCCTGTTTTAATCGGTTTGTTGTCAATGCGCCTAGTGTAGGTTCTCCCTTTACCAAGCATGGCAACTTTCCCGTCAAACAAATAAGGTTCCTGGAAGCTATTATATCAGCTTTCTTTTCGATGGCTGTCTGGACTGCATTTGAAGTGGCCGCCTTACTTCTCTGTAGGTTGATTTGCAGAATATTGAGAGGTTTCTTTGAAAGGTATCTTGGAATGGTGTCCGGGGTGGTATGAGAGTTGTCCATGATGTTTTTCATGTTGGGAGCCATTATTCATATCTTGTTGTCTGTATCTGACTAGCTTTGTACCTTTTGAGCATGATACAACCTTTGTCAAGTGCGTTGTGATCGGTACGGACCGCCTTGTTCTTCGGCACAGTTTTGTTGAATTGTTTACAGTTGTAACATGTGGGTTCCCATTGGAGATTCGGACAGTCTTTAAATTTGTGTCTCTTTGTGCAGTGGGAACATTTTTGTTTTTCAGTACACCTATATGAGGTGTGTCCAAACCCTGTACAGTTATAACAACGGATTGTTGCAATATAATCGTCTAGCCGGATTGAGCTCCAGTCTATGAAGACTCTTTGTTGTTTCATAAGGGCGTTCCTGATACTCGGCGAGACGCTAAGTATGATATGTTTTGAGTGACTGATTCCTCTGGGATAGAAGCTGTGACTTATTTTGGTGCTGTTACTGAACTCTTCTTTAGTAAGTAGCTCTTGTAAATGGTTGTTTTGATGGTAGATGTTGCATACTAGGTCTTCTTGTCCTATGTTATCAGGGACATTATACAGAATAACCTTTGGAGGTTTTTGATTTTTTTCTATTACTCTTATTTTCTCTGTTAATGCTTCATGAGTTTGCATGGCCTTTTTTAATGTTAAGAGGTCGGATTCCTCGTGAACTTGTATTTTGATGTCCCCGCTGGGAAGGGGGTCTGACAGCCTTAATTTTAATCCCAAGCCTCTTTGGATCCACATGGGTCTGTATAAGTCCCATAGTCTCCTCCGGGGTTGGAGCTGGGTGATCCAGTTTCTTAATTGGTGATATGATAATATCATGTTTCTCGTTCTTTGGGTTGTACACACCATCCAGTTTGGCCGATTTTTCGTATATCAGCTTGGTTGTTTGACTCATGGGCTTGAGGTTCCTTTTAACTATTTCTGAGTAGGTTCCCCTGGTTGGTTGAGTGCCAGTGACTTCCAGAACCTTTACTCTTTCTCTTAGGGCCAGCACAACCCCAAAAATTTGGTTGGCTGCAGCGTGCATTTTAACAGCAGCCTCCCTTGCCTGAGCACGCCCTTTCGTTTTGACAGAGACGTTGGAGTTTGTAGGGATACTTGTTAGGATTATATCCAGGTTCTTATTAATTGCAGATATTAAATCTTCCTCTATGAAGCTATTGTTGAGTGAATTATTAGTTTCCTCGACAGTCATGATGTCCGGATGCTGAGTAGTTACTTCAATGAGGCAGAAGTGAGGCTTGAACAATCTAACGGAACAAGTGTGATGCACGTAACCTAGCTGAAAGGCTAGCTGAATGGTTGAGGGGAGAAATGCTTTATACTAAGCAGTCTTTTACCAGTACTTGGAGTGAAGTGACTAATAAGAGTCTTCCACAGAAAAGTGAACAATGGGAAAAACCAAGTCCCCCTTAAGGGAGCCAATACACGATAACGCTGAAAGGCGCGGTTCGCGCCGACTGGTTAAATTGAAGAGATACGTGAACTGTACACAAACAGTGAACGCCCTGGAGACAGTACCGATAATACACGGAAATATAACAAGTACCGTACCAGTAAGGCCGAAACAATAATTGAAACGACCGAGTTGAGCCGCCCGCCGAACGGCTAATCCACGCCTAATGGCTAGGCAAACCACGTGGAGAAGTACTTGCCCTTTGTTAACGGTACTTTGTTTTCGAATCGCGATATCACGACTAATAATTAATATATATAAATCAACTTTGTAGAATACATTACGGACGTGACAGAAGATATAAAACCGTCAAGTGTTCGGGAAAAACCCAAATAGGCGATCTGCTGTGGGCGATCAGAGTTCGGCAGATTCAGACGAGAATAACTTCTGATGGAGTGAAACGATTTCAATAAAATGGGACTCACGGATAGTCTGTTGATTCCTGATTCGAACGATGTATAACACTTCACTAGATAATCCAAAAATCCAACTGTATCTCGATCCAAGGTGAGAGCGCATGTAGATCACACCACCTACGCCGTGAATGCGCACACTGACCTTTTGTGTGAGGTTAGACAGACAGCAGTCAATTGAGCAGATCTTCAAGACAGCACGAATTTCGGATAGAAGTTGTCATTCCATCCTGCATGATCAATTGAACATGCACCATATTTGCCAACACACTGTGCCATGAATGCTTACGACGGACTTCATGCGATTTCAACATCTTCCTCATGTACTCAGTACTCTTCCNTATGAATGACTGCCTATAATTTATTATTATTTTTAAATTATTTCCGTCTGTGGACATTAAGAGGCTTTTTAGCAAGCTCATTTATGGGATTGGCCATTCCCATGATGGGCGGGACGGGGCCCGACGAACCACTTTCCCAAAAATCCTGAGGTTTTTCACCCTGTTCGAATTCGATTCTGGGTTTCGATAACGGTATTCTGCCATTTTAACGACTCGGCTATCTAGCCGTCAAAATAGTTTATTTTAGTGATTTCCATATAGAATTGCTTAGCGTTTTCCTATTTAGTGCAACATCTGTAGGTAATACAAGATAGATTCAAAAATTCCCGGAATTATGCTGGGTTAGTCATTTAAAGGTAATGAAAAAGGAATATGTAATGCATGTCTTAGCTAAACATGTCAGAAATATAGAAATATGTTTAAACAAATCTGTGCTCGCTGCACAGACGACAACAGTTATCATTCACTGAAGGTCGTGTTACTAAGACGTCGTGAAACAGAGTCTGAGGAAAATATCTGTGGATGAACATGCAGATATCAAATGTTATTAAAGAAAAAACCCTCTGAGACCTTCAAGATGCTTCAGGAACCTTCAAGATCCTTCAGGACGTTTACGTTGAATCTTCCACGAAGCATTTTGAAGTTTATGACTGACAAAAACGCTTTCTTGAGAGACGAGAAAGTGCCGCTTTTGATTTGCGAAGTGCTCATCTGTCGACATCAACATCTGAGGTGAAAGATTCGATTGTACGCTAGATTGTGAGGTGAACCATAAGGTAGACAAATTTCTACATTAAAAAACCTGTACCAAATATAAATACAACTACATTTTATTGAATATANTTCAATAAAATGGGACTCACGAATAGTCTGTTGATTCCTGATTCGAACGATGTATAACACTTCACTAGATAATCCAAAAATCCAACTGTATCTCGATTCAAGGTGAGAGCGCATGTAGATCACACCACCTACGCCGTGAATGCGCACACTGACCTTTTGTGTGAGGTTAGACAGACAGCAGTCAATTGAGCAGATCTTCAAGACAGCACGAATTTCGGATAGAAGTTGTCATTCCATCCTGCATGATCAATTGAACATGCACCATATTTGCCAACACACTGTGCCATGAATGCTTACGACGGACTTCATGCGATTTCAACATCTTCCTCATGTACTCAGTACTCTTCCTCGGGTTCCCCTACCTTCTTGAAAGATGCCATCAAGGGACGCCACTTGAAGAATGCGGATGAGGTTATACAGAGTTTAACATCTGTGATGTCGCGAGACGGCTTCCAAGAATGTTTTCAATAGCTATACCAACATTGGCAATTGTGTATGGTTGCCGAAGTACAATACTTTGAAAAACACATTGTTTGATTTGTCAACCGTACACATACTTTTGAGTAATAAGCCAGTCCCGGAAACTTTTTGAAGCTACCTTATATACTCGATCTCATTAGCATCTACTAACATTAACGATATTATAGACATTTTTAATAATTTACAAAATTTTGTGTAGGTATCGATTAGTTGTCCCTTTGGCAGCAGTTTTTGGAACGAAATCCGAAAATGGATCGTTAACAGGAATCGTTGGACAATTGCAAAGAAAGGTAGTGCCTTACTTTATATTTTAAATGACTGGTAATTAAATACACAAATGCATTGTTTGTAGTTAATGTTTGTAAATAATATTTATCAATTTTCTGATGAAATAAAATTCTCATAGGAAGCTGACGTTTCTATTAATCCATTATACGTAACTTTTGAATATATCGGTAGTATCGACTATTCATCGCAAATTTCATTTGTTTATGTAAAATTTATAACTAAAGTACCCGAAGAGAAATCTAACTGGAGTTCAATTGTTCGACCTTTCCAAATTCAAGTATGTAAAATAATCGCTTATAATTTAAAAAAAATCAATTTTTATATATATTGTTTTTATTGTTATTGTATACACAAATAGTAATTCGCGTTTGAAAAATAAAATTAATAAATATAGGTTTGTAAAATTGAGTTACATTTCAGATTTGGTTACTGATATTTGGGAGTTTTTTGGTTTTTGGATTAGTATTAAATAAAATAATAAATTTAGAAGATGCAGATTTACAGCCACAAATGTCACCTAGTAATGTTTACTGGTTTCTCTTCGGAATTTTCGTTTATCAAGGTAAATATATCAATGGCACGTTTTACATTATTTGATAATTGAATTGTTGTTAATTTTCAGGAGGAAATATACGTAATGTTAATAGAATTCGATCTAGATTTTTAATTGGAATTTGGTTATCGTCAATTATAATTTTAGTATCCTGTTATACGGGAACGTTGAAATCATTTATGACTTCCACCGTGATCGAAACATTACCAACCACCGTCGATGAACTAGCGAAAGCCGTCCAGAAAGGAGAATATTCATGTGGAACCATGAATAAAAGTCTTATACATAAATTTTTAAAGGTATATATAAAGACATATTATCTATTTATTTTTACGAATGGTTATTTCTTACCGGACGGACAAAGTTTTAAAAAGTCCATTTTATATAATACATTTTATTTTATATTTTTCAAAATAATTTTAATGTACAGTACCTTTAAGAATTTACTTTTTTAACGTCGTTTTAAACCGTTCTGTAATATAATATTTTCTGAAAACAAAATTCTTCTACACCTCCTTTAATATTCTTCGAGATTTTTATCTGTCCGGAGGCGATCTCGACTCCACATTATATGTTGTGAAATTTCTGTATTACTTCTATAATCTTTGTCTGTATAAAACTTATGAAATAAATACATAAATTTTATACATGCAACGTAAAATACAATAAACTATAAATATAAAAATTCCAAAATAAAATTATCTTATTTACAGATATTGGGCAACTTTAATCTATTTTATGAAAGCAGTTTATTTTCTAGGAATCACCTCTATCAAGCATGAAAATTTTGGGTAATCATATCATAAAAAATAAGCATTTCTTTGGTGAAACGGAAGCATGGAATAAAGTCATCACCAGTCGTTTTGCTTTGATCGGCAGCACAAACTTATTCGAAAAGTTCGCTGGAATGTATGGTTCTAATAAATTTGTCGTCTCTGTAGATTACATCACTAAATTTGATATAGCCTATGCATTCAAGAAAGATTTTTCGTATAGAAATAAGTTTAGTAAGATGTAAGTTATACGAGTACATTATGTGTATAAATTTTTTATTCTTTTTTGAAACTTATTTTTCCTTTTTTTTTGTTTGTTTTTTTATTTACAGAGTAACTAGATTATTTGATGCAGGAATTATTACTAAAGATGAGCATAAAAAACAATCGAGTTTTAATAGAGAAAATTCTGAAGCAAGTTCTCTTACTTTGAGTGATGTATCCAGTCCGTTTGCACTTCTGTTTATAGGATATTTTCTATCATTTCTTATTTTTGTTGTTGAGCTTTTATTTAGAAAATTGAAGGTTTTGGATATTAATATTATATAATACTTAATATAATATTATAGCAGATATAACATAATATAATATAATATCTGCTGACTTTACAAAACTTATATGAAATGAATCAATAATTAATTTGCGTATGAGTTTTTTTTATTAAAACAAATTAGTTTGTGTATTACAAAACACATTTACGCTAAATCGTAAAACACGTATAGTAATGATAGACTTAATTATTTATGCACTATTTACCATTTAATAGAAGAAAAAAACTATACGTCATTCTACAAACTATAAGAACTTAAAAGAAATAATTTTTTATATGTTGAAGAAAATAGTAGTAAACAAGTATATCATTTATTCGTAGACCTAATTGATATTTTGCTGTTTTAATGCCAACAAGACTCATTTATATTGATTATTTGATTATTAGTTTTTTATTTATATTGCGAATAATAAATACAACATAGAACAAAGTCACGATATTTACTCTTTTGTATTTTCTAAATCTATTAATGTTTGTGATCATGGTATAAAACAGATGTTATTTTTTAATTTAATGTTTCTCTGAACATCACGAAATGATTGTATACAAGACACAAAAGCTTCACTGGGATTGTGGAACCCGGAAAACTAATTGTACCACGTGTAGATGCTGCTGATGCAAACTGTGTTACCACCAATGGAAGATCCATGCATTTCATAAACTATTGAAAGTTTCTTTCTTGAAACATTAGATGCTGTTCATCAATTGAATATCACACCTGAGCAGCATTTTATAACAATTCATCGTAAACGAGTTTTACCATGAAAATTGGATAAACAACCCGATACTCAAACAAAAAACACTTTCGATTCGTCTTATACAAGTTGCAATTTTACCAAGCTATAGATCATTTCGTCACTCTAACGGCTACAATATCGATGCTTTATGGAGCAAGATAAAACTTACATATTCAATGGTTCCTGTGGTTTGCTCCTTGGCATAATTATAAGCGCATATAAAACTTATGCATTACTGTATCTAAAAAGAACGGAAATATATGATACCATTTGCCAGATTTTCTGGACATCAAATAATATTTTTGATGTTAATCGACTAAACATTTTTATTATAATTTGCAAATATAGTAGGACACTTTACTGTATTTATCACGTTTCCTTCGTCTGATACTTGTTGTTAATTTGCAATCGTTTTTTTCATTTGTAGAAGCGAAGGTAATTTGTTTTTTTTTTAATTATGCCATGTTAAGCATAATAAATTCGAATACTCTATGAATTTCTGAAAAATATGTCGTTTCTGTTAATTTTAAATATTTTACAACTTAAGATAATGTATTTACTATTATTTGTCAAAGTTTCATGTGCATAAAACTTTTTAATTAACAGATATAACAAAAGTGACACGCTTTAAACAAATCTGCAGAAATAGAGATAATAGTATTGTCCTTGTAAAACTTTTATTAAATACAGTACATTATTACATCATAACAAAGTTCTTTACTACTTTGAATTATTTTATCGTTGTTTTCTGTAATAAATCTGTCATAATAGTTATTCGAATTACACATCCTCCACAGATTTCAGGAGGATATATTGCACGATTTCTAAGCGACCTTTATATTTTATTACAGCTTCATCAATAGAAAAGTCGCGATATAGAGTAAGACCAGTAGCGTAGCGTAGGGGGGTCGACAGGGGCGGCCCGAACCGGGCGGCACTTTTTAGGGGGCGGCAAAATTACGTTTTAGAGGTCGGCAAAATTTCACAATAAATAATAATAATATCTTGTAAGAATTTGAATCATTTTATTTCATATTTTCGTCCACCTACGACTCGGACCGATTGAAATGAGCACGGAATAGTGGGAATAGTGTTACCATCCGACTCGCCATCCGGGGAAATCGTGCGCAACCTGTCGACCTTTATTTTTTTTTTTTTCATACAATTCATTCGTACATTCGTTCATTCGCGTATACACCTCCAATATCCAATAGGGCTAAGTCATCTAGATTACTTACGTTACTGCTACCCAAGTCTCCCTAGTAGCTAACTGTAACAGATTTAGAACCAGCATGCACTGCAAATTATTCTTTATTGCAAAATGATATACGCATGCGTCAGGAACTTCTGTCCTAACAAACCTCACCTGCCGTCAGGGTCGGCGATTTTTAAAAGGTGGCAACACTAGCACGGAATTTTTCATTACTTATTCTGTGACGAAACTGAATTTTAGTGTTTTAAATCGAGATACCTAAATAAAGGAGGCAAAATTTTCCTTTGCCCCGAGCGGCTGACACCCACGCTACGCTACTGAGTAAAACATCTGTTACAATTTAACTTGAACATGCTTATGAAACGTTCTACTTTAATAAATAGAACCCAGAATCGTTTGGATTATCTTCTAGTCTGTTTGAGAGATGCAAACATTGTAAAATTTTCTAAAAATAATCTCTGAGCATGATTCTTATAATCATTATATTTTCAAGTGCTGGATGGGAAGACTAATACATATATATAACAGGAAAATCATTAATTCCATTCATAAATATTACAAAAATATTTGCCCAAATTTCTGTTATATATTCTTCAGATTTCCGTAATTTATCAATATTATCCAGTAGTATTCTGAACATATTCAGCATATTTATTTGTATTTTGAGCTAAACACGTCGCCTGATTAATAGTATGCCTATACGGCGAGGCAAACTATCAATCAGGCGATTAGTGATTGCCTGAGGTAACCCTTGCCAAGCTATGTCAACTGCGTTGCGTTGCGCGTGCCATTTACACTAAGTGGCGGTGGTCCTCGGTGCACCTCGCATCGGAAGAGGTCCCACTATTGTTCGAAAGAAGAAAAATCCAGCGAGACTGCTTGTCACGAAAGGATGCGAATTCCGCTCAGACTGATGAGAGTTCGCCATGCGATGTGCGGTCGGGCATTATCTTGCTAAAACACCGTGTCGAGTGCGGCCTACATAGTGTCCGAACTACAGGCCCCACAATTCGTGTGACGTACTGGTCCGACGTTCCGATGTCAGAATATTGGAAATGTGCACCAGGGTCACAAATCAAGATGCATGGTTTGGGGCCGGTGTGAAGCTCTGTGAAAATTACTAGCACGTAGCCACACTCGTCCACGGCTGTCATCCTCTACAGACAGAAGAGGGATTCATCCGTAAACAATACCTCATGTCATTCAGTAGTCCAGTCGTGATGACGACGACACCACGCCAGGAGTGCAGACCATGGTCGTGTCGAACGGTTAATAGCATGCCGATTGCTAGTTGTCTTACATGCAGTACGACTTCATGCAACCTACAGCGAATGGTTTGGGTGGACATAGAAGCATCCATTGACGGTAACAGGAGGCTTCGGATATCACATGACAGAGTGCACAGATCGGCGAATTTGTCGATCTGTGCGCTCTGTCTTGAGCCGATGCAATCCACTTCTTCTTTGGCGTATTAGTAGCTGTTCCTGGGTCTATCGTGTCACATATTCAGGTCTTGCCCAACACGCGTGGCATCTTCATGCATCGACAAACCGAGGTCGTACAGTTCAAGGATTTGGTCTCGTTTCCCAGTCATTAACTGGTGGTATTCAGTTTACTGTTGTCTCCGAGGTATTTTCTATGCTTTTGCAAAAGTTCGGCTTCGCTGATAGCATTTACGGTTCGAGTCGGCTGCAGGACTTTATACCCTAAAACTGAGTACCACATACGTCTACTTGTCCTGCAATTTGCATTTGGTTGCGCACATTCCTTCGTGGTGTTGCTATTTCACTTTTGAGGAGTGTAATTGTGCTGTAAATATCGAGGATGATGATATATTAGAAGCTTCGATATGTACAGTACTGTACAAAAATAAGAATTATTAAACAAATATCTGAATTTGTGACATTCATTTACTAGGAAAAGAAATAAAAGATTGGATCGCTATACCTTTTGTAAAATCGTGGCTATATATAAACCATAGATTGGTCACAGACACTGGATGGAATACGGCGTAAGAGAACCAGTGTGAACCAAGCCTTTTATAGCGAACCAAATTGCTGTTTGAAAATTATTATAAGTATTTTTTACTTTCAAAATGCTTGTTCAAAGTATGATTCAATTTCTTCATTATTTCAGTTGTTTGCAGATTCAATTTGAAATGTTTGAATTAATTTAAATTTTCAATTAGAGTTTTGCAAATTTGTATTTTTCAAACATTTTTACAAAAATAAAAAATTTTTTATAAATTTTAAGAATTCTTTTACTAAAAAATTATTTTAAATTCATTTTAAATACTTTCTTAAGAAACATTTAATTCTATAATTTATGAATATAAATATAATTAAGAATGCAAAATATCATTTTAATTTGCAACAAATTTATTAAAATAAAAATTTAGCACAGATATTTATAGTAATATTCATAAACACATTACAAGTAATTTATTACATTACAATTAATATATATTGATTATTGATAAAATAGATTTAAGTAATGTAAGGAATGGTTAAGGCATTTTACGAATAATCAAAGCCATAAAGGCAAATACAATGTCTGTAAAAAATACATCTTCCTTCATATTTTCCGCACTGTTTAGTACAGTATTCAGTATTACAACGAATGCGTACAACCCCGGAGGAATTATCGCTGACAACTATAACCATAAAATATTATTATTTAGCATTTTATTTAAAATTAAATGAACAAATTACTCTTAACAAGAACTTAATAATTTTAAGTAAAATAGAGAATAAAAAATCACTAATACTTTATTTGATATGGTTAAAACATAAATATTCATTTAAAATTGAATATTACTTTCCTCGTGATATTTATACATAATTAAAAGGTATATCAATTATATAGTTTCAAGTTCTTTTTTTATAATTAAATTCTTTTATAATAAACTTTCAATATTGTTATTGACAAATTTAATTTTCTAATATTTAAATATAACTCACTAATACTAAATAAATTAAGCACTCACCTAGATTAGCAGACATAATAAAAGCAATTAAAATAAATACGAAAAAAGACATC